ACTTTGAACTTTTGGATAAACTGGTATGGAGTGATACAGAAAAGTCAGATTTCAGACTTTGAACTTTTGGATAAACTGGTATGGAGTGTTAGAAAAGTCAGATTGCAGACTTTGAACTTCTGGATAAACTGGTATGGAGTGTTAGGTATGGTATAAAAATCATATCTCTTGCCTTATTTAAGTCTTAGCCACTATTACACACATTCACTTCCTCTGCATTAGAAACCATGTTACACATATACGTCTCACTATAAAGCCAATTACCTGTTGATAATATATCTTCTTAGGTTGTCGAGGTTTAAAGGTGACAAGGAGATCCTTCAAGGTCCCTTCATATGTACAGCGGAGTGCATTCCCAGGCCCATCTCTGTAGCTACAGTAGTTGTCATACAAGTGTATTGAAGAAGATAAATAAAACTCCCAGTATATATATATATATATTTGTACCTTACCTTACAAAACATCTTTAGTAATGTTAGTTTCAGTTCATCCTGATCACATTAACATAGGGATGATGCAAGTATGTCAAGGACTTCCAGTAATAAAGCAACAAAGATGTTAAGTTAAATACAGAAATATAGGTAGAGGAGATAATTAAAAAATAATATTTCTTTAAGAATAAATTGGAATCTACAATTGACTGCGAAATGTATATAAAACTACGAGCCAACGAAGAATAGATTAATGAACTCAAAGTGGTTTCATATATGGTGTATAGAACTAACCACAAAGTAATTTCAGAAATAAATGTTACATTAATCCTTTACAAAAACTTCCATACTGTCAAATTAAGCCATATTATATAACTTGACTATACTTACACACTTTACTTAAACCTAACTATTGCTTTTGTAACATAAAATGTTCAAGATAATAAGCAGGAATCTTTTTTTTTCTTTTTGGAGTAGAAATATGATTAAGCAACAAACAATTGTTAAGGGTTTCTGGTTACTAATCCACCCTTGGAATTCCAGTTATTTTGTGTACATCAGTACTTAAGACAAGTAATTTTAGTGAGTTTACCAATCAAATGAACAATCACCAAAAGAAAATTAACAGATTTACCTCTGAGCCTTGAAGAACTGTAATAAATAAGGATCTGTTTCTAATCTCTGGGCAACGGCATTGGCCATCTAGTAAATTTCATGTCAAAAGCAATTGATAATATTGAAATAAAATACATCTACATAATAAGTAGACTTAAAAAACAATAAAACACATATAAGACAGTCAATAATTTGATAAAATCTTAAACTCTCTTAAAATAGCCCATGAAGACACCTACAATACATATATATATATATATATATATATATATATACACTATAAACAGATACTAAAGCAAGCACTGACATTACAGACAGCAAGATATTGCCCACATAATAAATCAAACACAGTGGCACCCCACTCATCTCTTTCCATTTTTCGAAATGCTCACTTATGTACACTTACTTCTATATATATGACATGAATAACCAATCGAAAGCTCAGAATGTTCCCCAGTGGTTTTTCTCAGCCTTTCTAATGTACCCAACACCATTTCTTTCTTTTGAACCAAGATTTCAATGAGGTAGGTTGTGTCTTTAGTCCACTCAAAATTTCATATTTTTTTAGACCCAAATACAGCTTAGTTACTAAGTTTGGTAAATTATAGTAGAATTCTATGGTATTGAGGTAGTAATTTATTATTTTTTAGTTATTCAAAAGTATATATAAAACCTTAAAAAAAATATTTTGTTTCATATCCTCCACATGCAAAATTTTTAAAGCTTAGCAACCTACATCAAGCAGCAACTGAGTACAAAGGTCGTAACTAGAAGAGATAATTATTTGCTTTACTTATTTATTCACTGTTCTATGTTTTTAGGAAAAATAAGCTAAGAACTTATTTCAGATTAGCAATAATCTATATACATATATAATGTATAATAATTGAAATGTGACTGTAATTTACAAAATACTACTGATCTAAAACACAGCCAAGACAAGTTACTTTGTACATACTAATAGTAAGTTTTATGTTATTAGATATAGTAACATGAGTGCACGTGTACCACATCATTGTAACTTCTGTATCGTTAGCCAGGCATGACTGAAAGGTCAATATAATACAAATAATAAACATATATAAATGTATAATGTTATGAGATTTAAGCTATTTCGGCTAAACATTTATGTTTTTGTGTTATAATTTGTGTTCATTCTAGAATGGAAGAGGCATAATTTATGTTTATTTCCTAATTTTTTATGGTGGTTGTGAGATCAATCAAATTTACCAAACCCATACAGAAATTAATTACTGAAAATAAGATATAAGATATAAAGTTTTTTTCTCAAGAAATGTTTGATAACTATGCAGACATTATAAAGATTTCGCATATGAAATTTCGGAATTTTCTGATCCATAAAAGTATTTTTAATGTTAAGATGAAAAATTACTTTGCATGATGGATATGAAAAGAAAAAAAGGTATGAGAGAAACATTGCTTTACAAACCTTAAGACTTAATAAAGAAAAAATATTTTGCGCATGAAAGCATTGTAATGTTTACTGATAAACTGCCAACTTGCGTTAACATTCGCTCACTAATTTAAAAGTTATAGCATGAAAACTAAAACAAGCAAAATGGTTACAAGGTCGGTCCCAGCGACCGAGCCCAGGTTGAAAGAGTTAACACTCATTAAAGAATGTAGAATCAATACAGACAGCTAGAATGCATATTAACAGTTATTAAAGTATGCTGAGACAATACAGACAGCTACAATACATATGAACAGTTATTACACTCATCATGTATAAGTCCACTACTTCACGCTCATCATATATCAGACACAAAGTAAGATACACATGAAAGCATTATACTGTAAAACATTTTAATTGAAAAACTGACTGATGTTCAGATTATATTTAGTCAAAATTAATACTTTTTCTTGTAAAAGTGGAGATCCATTGATAATCCCTGGATCCAGTAAGAATAATAGCAAAAGGCTAGAGAATACATGAAAACACTAAAACTAACATACTGTAGAAAATCGTGCATCTTCTCATTTTCTAGCTGTTGGACATACTACTGAAATTATTAAAAGTTTTAGTTTAATGAGAGATAAAAACTCCTCCAATGAATGGAAGGAACAATGGAACACCTATTCACTGGGGAATCACCCTGCTCCCCATGGCCTTATCTGGCAATTTTATTACACTTTTACAAGTTTTTGTACTTTCATGAACATAGTAAGTCACACAAACACACAACAAAATGAAAGATATTTAATAGTAAGTGTGTCTTGTCCAAACAGTTAATTTTGCAACTGTATGAAAATCAAAACAACACCCTATTTAAAAAAGTACATAACATATTTTGCCATGTGTTTCAATTTATACTATAACCAACTAGCTTCAAAAAATATTTATTAATAAAATTTAATGTATAACGTGCCTTTGTTAGCTTATTATACTATTTTACATAGATTAACTATTGTTTTTTTTTCAGTTTAATACTAAACTATATAGTACAAACTCTATATTCTCTTGTTACATGACCATTTTTTTTATTATCACATCTTAAAAGCTACATTACACTTGCAGAAACATGAATTACCTGATCATAGTTCATTTTGAGTGAAAGCTCCATTGTGAAACCAGGATCGTTGGGAATGGTTTTATCACAGAAAGTCACTTCTACCCGGTAGAACAAATCTCTATATTGGGTGAAAAACTGGTTTAGTGATAGCTATGGTAATACATACATTCTTGAAGTTAATATTCTTATAATTGTACAGCTTTTAAAATATGAGAAGCTCCTAACCTAAAGTAATCTTTAACTGTTGGTAGTTCTAATTCATCAGGATTTATGTCTGATCGCTGAAAGACTATAATGTCTCCATCCATCAATTCTTCCAAGACATTCTCCAAGGGAAGGTCCAAGTCCTCAATCTTCTCCACCATGTTTGGTTTAACTTCCTAGAAAATTTTAAACTTTTCTTCATGTGATGTTTAATATTACATGGATGGCAATAAAAATACTACTAAGTAAAAACAAACAAACATATATATATATTTTTTTATTGTTACTCAACTACAACTCACTGAAAAATACCCAGCTTTTCTCAATAAAGAACTATATTCAACTTTCCCCTTTATCAGCCACTAAACAAAATAAATGATGTAGTAAAGTTCACATCATCCAAGAGAAGTTTTTAAGATCTAATTAACTGTGGATTTAAGTTAATACTTTAACATTATTATAATTTACATAGGGTATATTGCAATATTTGTGAGATCCATGCTTAAACAAAACAAAAAGAGACTACCACAACTTATCATTCTATTTTCTTTTTTTATTCTCGAAGAAGGACCTTTCTAACGTACCTAGGCATCATTTCTTTCTTTTAAATCAAGATTTCAATGAGGTAGGTTGTGTCTTTAGTCTGCTCAAAATTTCGTATTTTTTTTTTTAAGTAAAATACATCTTTGTTACTAAGCTTGATAAATTATAGTTAGAATTCTAGTGGTTATTGTATGTAAGTTAATTTTATTTGTTTTTTAGTTATTACA